TACACAAATATTACAAATAGTTATTATTTACCAAACTTTCTATAAGTTTCGGCAACTTTTCCAAACACTCTTCCGACTGTATCCGTCGGGAAATTTCCCGTAACTTCTCATTCAGCTCCCTATCACTCAGTAGTCTTTCCACTGTCCCTAATAACTCGCTCTCTGAGCACCGGTACGGGTCCAGCCTTACGCCATACCCTAACTCGTGAACTCTCTGACCATTATTAAATTGATCGCTAAATAGCGGCAAAACTATCATAGGTTTCCCGAAATACAGGCTTTCCGTCACAGTATTATTCCCGCCGTGTGTTACCACCAAATCCACAACCGGTAACACCTCTAACTGGGGCACCGACTCCCGGCCCCACATATTGCTGCCTAACATGTATTTGTGGCCTAACGGCCCTTTAGATACCAGGAACCTATTTGGCGATTTGCTTAATATTGTAACCAATCGGCGCATTAGCTCGACCTGCGCGCCGCCCATAGAGCCCATGGACAGGTAGACGAGTTTCCCGGGTTTGTCACGTAAGGGCACCGGTATTTCGAAAGGTGGCTGCGATTCCTCACGCATGAAATGGTCAAATTGAATGTAGTTGGAGGGTAGGGCTCTAATGTCTGTGTAGTCCAATTCCTTGGGGTAGGCGTATAGATTTAGGTATTTTGATGGTAGCATGAAATGTCCAGGGTGTAAATCTTGTATTCCATATGTCTTGAGGTAGTTGTTAAATTGTACCCAGATATCATTTGTTGCCTCATTTACAGCCTCCATATATGCGTTCCACAAGCCTTTAGGTCCCTGAGTTGGTAATCCTACATTTTATATTTAATTAAGAAAATTTTGAAAAATAATTTATATATTATATTATACTAGTATAAGTTGTAATCTTATAATAGTATTAGTTTATTAGCATTATACGTTTAAATTTTAATATATATCTGGAATAACAAGCATTCTGACAATATTTTATTAAATTATAATGAATTTTTTAAAAATATATTGTACTTAATAACGTATTTTATTTATTACCTGAACCAGGTGGGGGCAATAGATCCTCGTCCCATAAAATATACGCCGGGTTACAGCTAACTGTCAACACCCATGGTATGCCACTTGTCACCACCGATGGCAGCACTATAGTCTGGTCGGCAATAATAACGTCCGGTCTATACGTTTTCAAAAGTAACGTAATTTCTGAATCAAATTTTTTTCGACCACTAATAAGCGGCTCATAAATGTTCTTGATCAAATTGATACGCTTATTAACTACGATGGACTCCTTAAACAGCCCGGCCTTTACGCACCACTGGGCCCAGTGGTCAGCGGGGTTAACGTCCCCCTTATGGGTGTTGTCGCTAAGGATAATCTCTTTGATGCCGTACTTTATGAGTCGTCCCCTCCATTGGTCTGTGACCACGAATCGGCACTTATGGCCGGCCCTCAAAAGTACTTGAGCTATACCTACGGCTGAGTTTACGTGTCCCACGGCGTCTAGCGGTACGAATAGGATGTCCAGGTTCATTTTAATAAGATTTAAAAAATTAAAAAATTTTGTTATATTTTCATTTTTTAGTTTTTTAAACCTCCTAATATTAAGCATCTGAGTGTATTAATAATAATAGTAGTTATATATAAAGTATACTTTATAAATATATTATCATATTTAGCAACCTTGATAATATATAAGATAAAAAATCATGTGTGCCCAAAAAAAAGCAACTAAATAAGCTATTTATAAATTATTATAGATATTTATGTATCATGTGTTAATTACAATTATATTTTTTATATTTCCGATATACTAGTACAGTAGTATACATTAATTTTTAAAAGTTTGATTTTTATCATTATCAAATGTTTAAATAAAATTATTCCAGCATGATTATAATAATTCTACAAATAATTAATAAACTTTTATAATTTTATTTTAAATCATAAAACTTAACATAAAATATTTGTGAAATAAAATAGCATACTACAGTATACATATTAATTTTATTTAAAAAAATTATTTAATATGTATAAGGATTTTATAATCCACGTTTAATAACATCTAATATTGCACCATAAAAGTTTGACCATGCTTCAACAGCACCGGCATTCATAAGGTCAGGCCCTAATTTATCAATCAACTCGCCCATAATCACCAAGCCCAATCGTTCAAACATGTCAATTGTAATTTTACGTTGCTTATGTCTGGCCGATAGTTTACTCAAGGTATCCTCGAAATAATCATTATTATCGAGGTTTTCGATAATGTTAGTTATAAACTGGAAGTCAACTGTAGCCTGTTTTATGACTTCCGGGTTGCCCATGATTTCACCGGTGATTTTCTTATAAAACGGTAAATGAGACGGGTTATCTACGAACCACCTAGTTGATTTAATTTAATTACAGTAAATTTTTAAAAATAATTTTAGTCATTAATCAAAAAATATACTTAAATTTTGCTTGTATATAAATTTATGATTATTCAGTATTTTTTATATGATTACAGTTTTTATAGTATTTATGTAGAGTTTAAGTATACCTTATGATTATTTTGTATGCAATTATTAAATTGCTTGATTAAATATTTTTTTAAATAAAAAACTTACTTAGCAAATAGCTCGCATCCATTTCCCTTGATATCCGGCGAGTATATATTCCAGGTGTTTTTGATAATTTCAACTTGAGACTCAGATAAATCAGGCATTTAATACAGTGCAACTTAAGTTTTACTTATTTATAAAATTATCTTTAAAACAAGCAAATATTTCTGTTATTTAATATGCAGTATATGTTTAAATATTTTAAAATCTGGATAATATCATCAAATTGACATTGTACGATAAAATATTTATAGTATAAATTTTATACCATAGTTATAGTTAGCAAATTAAGTAGGGAGCATCGAGGCACGAATCTCGATTAAGTGGTTCTAATTGTTATGATTAGTTAGCCAGTAACACAATTAAC